TTATTGTCTGAAATAATGAAAGTCACACAGTTTTTAGCCGCCACTTATCACTTTTTATATAGTTTTTAATGTTTTACGTGTAATGTCACCAGATCTATCGCACAAGTTCACTTTTTACCGCGTAAACAATTTTAATTGACGGAGCGTCATATAACACGTCTACTCTCTTCGCGGTGAGAGGGGGAAGAGGAATTCATATTAACAAAATTTTGTAGACATATTGAAATCTTCAATTTTCATTAAATAAGCTAAAATATAAAGCGGGCGCACACCTTTGACTAAAATGTCGCACAACTGTTGTGCGATTGTCGATTGTTTCGCAGCCTTCAACTGTTTAGTTGCACAACTAGAAATCGAGTAATGCATCTCCATATAAGCTCAGGAATCAAAGCAAGACTAAACAGTTTTGCGATAGTTTAAAGACGTAATGTGTTTGTTATATTATTCTTCGTTAATATCGATTCTAAAAGGCCTTAATTATGAAAACTGAATACTTAACTTTAATGAGTAGAAATCAAAAGTAATTGTTTTAAAATTGTTAGTTATTACGCAATTACACACATCCTTACGCGATATCCTTCCTGTTTGGAGCATTATTTGATTTCTAGCATTTATAGTCGAGGAAGTTAATTTAATACCCACCTTTGGTAAATTCGACGCAATTAGGACTAAAACTCGTTATATGTGCTAAAATGGTCTTATGGTAACAATTCGGTTTACGATTCGATCCTAAATAGGGGAGAGTTTTATCTTATATTATAAGGTGGCAAACGAGCAATTGGATACATGAATCCGCCAAACTGGCGTAGCGACCGCTGCCCATAGACATTGGCAATAGCGAATGCGTTGCCTACCCTTGACGGACGAGGAGACACACATCAAAGAATGTTTCCCCTTCCTATGTGTCACCTCTACCGTCAAATCCACGTTCCCTACCCATCCTTTTCTTATAAGAAAAAGGGACTGAAGTTGGGCCTTCGGCACCATACTTATCTGACGATGCGCGGAATTGCTCCTACATCAAGCCTGTCTTGTGTGTGGTCGTATTACACCGGGAAAGCTGGCCCATTCGCGCGAAGATGTTAAAGCGGGCTCTACCACTGTTAAATTACGTATTTAATTCCTTTAGGAGCCTAAAGTATTTAAGTGTCTTTTAAACATTTATTTATATTGAATTTTCTTCATGTGAATTTATTTTGTTTCCATTTTACATGAGATTTTTGACCGACTTCCCAAAAGAAGAATGTACTCAATTCGTCTGTATGTTTTTTTTTTATTTTTTTATGTGTGTTATAAGATAAATATTTTATTTAACATCGATATACAAATTGTACATTTTATTATTATTTAGACTTTCTCGTTACCAATTCACATGGAAGATAATCTCGTATTAATGAATTTTATAGCTTGTTTTCATAAAATATTTTAATTAAACTAACTCCTTTAGTACCACTGTATTGGAGTATTTAATTACCTTAGTACCGTAATTTTATCTTAATTATCACTTAAGTGCCTTCACAAGAAATTTCGTCAAGCGATGAGCTAAACTATTTAACTACGTCGTAGTCTTTGACTCCAAAAATCAAACAAAAGAATGGGACCTACATGCAAGCATTACCTTTCGTTTAAAAATGGAATTATTAAAATCGGTCTACTAGCGGCGGAGTTATGCCGTAACACATAAAAAGATACAGACGAATTAAGTACCTCCTTTTTTTGGGAAATCGGTCAAAAAGAGAGCTTTTTTGGAATCTAGTAAAGGCATCACCACTGTTAGGTTTAAAGTAATCTTACGTAAGCACTAATTAAATTAAATACAGTTAATTCTACTTAAATTGTGATTACTATCTTTTATAAACTGAAGTTGTCCAAATTGTAACAACCACATTAACATTAAGGCTTCGTAGAATATCTAAATCAAGTTTGTAACTCTTTGTTCTTTGTACATTTGCAAGAACATCATAAAATGTGCACGTCGATCCATTTTTTTACTAATTTTATGTAGAAAAATGGTAAATCTTTACTAAAATAATTAAATCGCATATTTCCTTTATTACAACAAGGACTACGTTTCAAACTTTTAACAATAATTGCCAAAACTTATAAATAATAATCAAAAATAACATATTAGTCTGTTCCATCCTTCGATTAGAAAACTCGCTGTCTCGACTACACAATATTAATAAAATCGATATACTCGTATTTTATAAACAATAAATAAGTCAATGACCAATAACCATCCAAAACAGAATCGACATTTACATAAGAATGAATAAAATATCCTACGCACACACTGTTCGTTAAAACAAATTTATTATTAACTAAGAACCTGTTCGCAAAATAACAACATTACATAAATTGTTTCATTACAAATACCTTCAAAATTTTCCATAGTATCGACCAACCTTCTCTATGGAAGACATTGGAAAAGGCCTCTATTCAGTAGTGGGCGGACAAATGATGTTGGACCTTCTCTATTCTCAATCAGTAAGAGCAACGGCGCAACACTAAATCATTGGCATACGCCCCATCCCTATGACATCTGTCAATGTCATTCTGACGTATTAGAATAGCGAGCCATCTGGCGGGAGCTAGTGGTCTGATAACAATAATAAATTTACAAAGAATCCAATCGTTTCAAAACGCATGATAAAGAAATTTCTATAAATGATCCTTCGAGCCAGATGGAGGGATGAATCGCATGTAACAAGAACATTAGTCATGAGTGTGTACACTGGTAGATGTATACGTAGAAAGAGATGGATGTATTGCGTGAAAGGTGACATGATCAAAAAGGGAGTGATGACAGATGACGTAAGATAGTTATGAAAAGGACAAAAACCTATTACGGCACTACAGGAGTAGGATAAGGATGATCCTTCGAGCCGGATCAATTAAATATCTAAATCATTCGATTGCGAATTACATATTCGTTCTACATAATGCTTTACTTTTGTAATAGACAATCCAAACTCGCAGAATAACGTAACCATTGTTACGTGGGTGCTATGACATCAACATTATGAAATACAACACATTAAATGGCTCCTGTATTTGATAAAAATAAGCGTTAAAGTAAGGACAGTACATGGACTACTTAAGAGGACAACATACTCGAAAACGAACCACAAGCTGGCAAACAAACAATCGTCCACCTGAATCCACAGAAATCCTACCCTACTCCATTCGGGAGGTTTATTCAAATGAGATTCTGGACAGAAAGAGGATGTTATTAGAGGATTTGGAAGCATTCTTACAGTTGCAATTATAATGGACTAGGTTTAACCCGCGACAATACCGCGCGGAATTAAAAAAAAACAAAAGTGATTCGCCTATCTCTTCTAGACTAACCTCTACATCTACGTCAAATGTCTTCGAGATATGTTCAGTTTAGGCTACAAACCCTAACAAACATCCATCTAAACTTTCGCATTTATAATCTTACTAATATTGTTTCTAAGACTTTATTTAAATTATTCTATATCATACAACCTTGTCCGAGTTGTAGCTAGAGCCAGTTTTAGAGCAGATTTTGGAGATTAGGTAGAACGTTGCTTGTAATATATTTCCTAGAATTTCTATTTAGAATTATGTATGAAGAATACATTTTGAAAATATTTTAAGTAAAAAAAAACAACAGACTAAATTGAATAGATTAAAAAGGTTACGCTGAATTTGTACTCTGTACTTTTCACTTTTGTATTTCTCCCGTCAACTATACGTGTTATGCCGATGTTATCCCATAACACTCCGGGAAGAAAGACGTTCCTAATGACACTTGATTCGTCAAAATCAGTGCAGTAGTTTAGACTATAGGTTATTACAAAGAAATTTAAATGCAAAAAACACACGTAAAATCGTTCTTTACATACGCACGATAATCTATCAGTCGGGTAAAAATAGAGGATTCCTGTAAGAATTTAAAAATAAAACTTTAACCAATTAAATTTACTACGGTTTTATTTAAGGGTAAGGTTTGGTAAAGTAAATTTACATCGGCTCAAACTATCTCTACTTAATTTGTTGTTATAGCCAGTTTTGTCTATTATTTAACACTTATGTCATGAGTATAATTATAATATTACGACTTATAAAGAGCTGCCAATACTTTTATAAATATTAGTGGTTTTTCGTTAATTTAATAATGTTTCCTTTAACCATTCCAACTAACCTCTAGGCTTGTGCTAGGATATGGTTCACAATAGTCGAGGCGGGATTCGAACCCTCGACCGCAACGGTAGTCCGAACCAGCCAATAGCCTAATACTTAGCTATTGGCGCTTGGTTTTTGGTTAATATCCTTGAAAACGTTGTTAAAACAATAAAAGTTTCTGTAATTTCGTATAGGACCATATCGATAAGTCCACAATACATCCTTATTCCTTATCGTAGGAATGTAAGTGCGTAATTTGTAAAGTATTGTGTACTATTTGACCCCAGTCTTAAACAATACATAAGGCCTCTTTCCCAGTTATTTTTAACCATTCGTTAATACGTAAATTGAATTTTACTTACTAGGTAATGAAAAAATTGAAACCACAGAGATCCGGCCATAGTATAATTATTACAAAAATATAAGAACGCACGTGTATGTAGAATCTAGTTATGGAATTTCTATCGAAATGTTTCTAGCCCAAGGCTCGTTAGTGAGACCTAGGTAGGACAGGACATATAATCTGGTTCAACAAAACTCAATTATCCGTTCACATTTCTATACGTCATTGTGAGAATTAACAAGGTTAGAGTTATTGATTTAATTCCCTATTGTTTATTTTAAAAAGTTATTACTCAGTATAAAAGAATCTTACACAATTATTTGCTTCCAAAGACAGCACGAAATGTGGGCCGCCTTGCAAAAGGCAACTCACAAAACCCTTTCGAAAAGAGCACACCTAGTCAACGTATAGACGTAAAGACAACTTACCAACGAAATCCAACTTCAATATCCTTTCATAGCACTTTAAGTAAGAAAACTTTTTTGTTATCACGAACAAAAATTGTTTAATCACAAATAATGCACTAACGAACGCGCGGTTTCAATTTCAACACGATACTAATACACGTCCACACCCCACGACGGCTCGCGCATAACTGAGAACTTGCTCGGTAACTGCGCCTGCGCACAACGGATGGTCCGGTTTGTGTTTCGTTGCTTCGCCTTTTGTCATATGCTGTATAGTTCTTACTAAAATTATGTAATAAACATTTCTAGATAACAGAATTAAGTTTGATTTTTGAAGGTTATGTGTAACGGGAGTGTATCTTTACTATTACAATAAGCGTAAACACACACTTCTTTGTTGCCTAAGATGTCAGCAATCACAGCATATTTTTGAATTATTATTTCTTTAATAAAAAGCCTTTCACTTACATCACGCTTTAGGCTATATATTTTCACGTTATTAAACTTGGGGGGTAAATATTTTACAATAAACGATAAAATAAAATTTCCATAATTTTATGCGTATGAAGTCGCAGGGGAACAGCAAGTAATATGATAATCAGAAATACAATAATTATTCAGCTACTTGAAAGCATGTAAACATATTTTGTAAACAACTAAATCCAGCTTCCAAAGCAAATAAAGAAAATCCTGACAATAGTTACCACATGACTTAGTCAACTTGACTATAACTAAGTTTAAAATGTGATAAAAAATCAGATTTAAGTCAACATTTCGTTGTCTATTCCATATCTATGATGTTCCAATATTATGCGTGCGTTTTAATTAAAATAAAATTTTAAGACTGCGTGCACACCTTTCTAATCGCACAACTGTGTCCCGCTTTGATTCCTAAAAGCTTATATGGAGGTGCTACTCGGTTTTTAGTTGTGTAACTAAACAGTTGAATTGGCTGCGAAACAATCGACAATCGAAAGTTATGCGATAGTTTAGTCAAATGTGCCCGTAAGTACATTTAATTATCAACATTAACCTCGTAAAACTAACGACAAGAGGTAAAGTGCTACTGTAAGAATTAATTAAATTTTATTTCTATTTCTCCTACTGCCTGAATGCGTTAAGATTCAATTTCTTTGCCCGCTATTTAATTGGATTAAAAATAGGGTGACCATCAATGCTACTTTTTGAGGACATTTTTTATATTTAGCAAGTTTAGATCTTATAATTGAGATAAAAACGTAATGTCATCATCAACTTGTCCTTGTCTTTGTACAGGGTCGGCACAGTATATACTCTTCCATTCAATCATTCATCTCCCCTACCTTATACTACTCCCGTTGAGTTTTAGACCTCCAAATAACTCTATCATCCGTCATCTCAGCAGTCCTTGATCATCACCTTTCACGCAATCCATCCATCTCTTTCTATGTCTACCTCTACCTGTACCACATTCTTAACTAACGTCCTTCTTGTTACATGCGATTCATCCCTTCTTCCATACATCTCTATAAAACTTCTTCACTTAAACATACCCTCTTCACAATCCTAACTTCTACCTTTCTACCTACATTAATCTAGACAATGACATAACTTACCCAAGGAAAACCTTATGTCCGAACTTAGAATTAGGTAAGGTAAGATGATTTTTTTTTGTAACATAAGGTGGCAAAGGAGCAAGCGGCCACCCAAATCCATCGAAATGGAAAGCGACCGCTTCCCATAAACATCCACAATTGTCGATGCGTTGTCTACCCTTAGTTGACGGAGGAGACGCACATAAAGAGGACATTTCCCCTTTCTATGCCTCTCCTTTACAGTTAAATCTACTTTTCCTTCCCATCCTTTCCTCTTAAGAAAAGGGTGGAAAGGGAAAGGGGCTAAAATTAGACCTCCGGATAGTCACCTTTGAGTAAACCACGATGACGGTAAAAAATTAAACTATCCCAAAATATTATGGTTACCCTAGTTATCTTCTAAGATTAAAAAAAGATTAAAGCTATTAACTGGAATTCATTAGCTCATTTACTTACCGACGAAGAAATTATACGTAATCTAACAAAGGATTTTCTTTCGCTAGTTTTTTAGCAAACCGTGATAGACTATATACGATATCTTTCGTGGTTATATAAGAAATCGAGTTACAGCTTTCTCGGTCAATTTAACGGTTCCGTAGTAAACAATATCTTCTTCTTCTTCTTAAACTGCCATCTTCTTCCGAAGTTCGGCGATTATTACGGCGATTTTTGTTCTTGACACCGTGGCTCTGAAAAGTGAACGGACGGGTACTCTTTCCATACCACTGCCGTAGGTTTTTGAGCCAGGATGTTTTTCTTCGACCTACACTTCGCTGTCCGTGGATCTTGCCTTTTACGATAAGCTGCTCGTATTTGGCATTTCGCATTATCTGACCTAGGTACAAAAACAAACAATATCTGGATATAGACAATGAAAAGTTTGTATAAAAGTTATGTTAAGCTTTTACAATGGGAGATTATATCTATTCATTCACGCAATATTAGGATAAAAATGTAGCCTATAACATGCCCCTCTATGTCAGCTACCCTTCAGTGAAAGTCCGGTCGAAATTGGTCCAGCCGTTTCGGAGACTACCCGGAACAAACGCGGCTTACAGAACAAGAAAATTTATAAATGCGATTTTCGTTATCAGCAATGCAAATAAACAGACACATCAATTTTATTCTATGGATATATGTAATTTATTGTAACAACACGCTTTGGTATGAAAAATACCATTTGTACCACAGATAACACAATACTACGCTAACTGTACTAGATTTTTTATCTTTACTAAAAGTTAA